TAATTACAATACTTGTATATTCATAAACATCTTTTAATAGATCATCATAATCACAATTATTATATGCAAGTATATGTATATAGTATGTTATATTAGATTATTAATTACTATTATTAAATAGATTTGTATAATTAATAAAAACTTGAAGGTGATAGCCCAAATTTGTATTCGCAACATAGTCTTTTTGAATGCTTTCAATCGTAGCATTAATCATAGGAATAATATCATGAAAAAAAAGATTTCACTTTCGAAAAAATTTATTTAATGATATAATTGACCCAAGACATCATAAATAAAATGAAAAAAATCCAATTAGTCTCCAATTACATAATCGTTGATATAAATTGCAAGCAACTTTACTATCATTAGTTTTGAGTTGTGAAAGTACAGCAGGTAATGTTTTGACAAAATTTTTGACAGCATTATACCAGCCAAACCATCGAACTTCTTTTAATTTTTTTAAACGTATCTCTAAAAAATCAAGAATTCATTGATATTCTTGAAGAATATTAACATGCTTTGCTAAGTTTTTAAAAATTTATATACATCTTTAATAATAATCTTAGCACTAGCAAAATAATTAAGCTGTTTTTGTGAATTTTTGCAGGCTAATGCTAAATATGTGCAATATAGTGATTGTAAACAATATACGGGCATATCTTAGATAATCGTTAAGCAACACCATTTTTGTTTCCAATTATTACGGATGCACCATCCGAGGCAAAGGCTACTAATTTATCTATAACGTCTATTAAAAAAGTATTTATTTAATAAAAAAATATAAATTTTACTATATATTATTATTATTATTATTATATTTACCATAATTTTGAAGCAGTGAAATTAATTTAGCAGTTATCGTCACTGCATCACTTTGGTTAAGTGCAAGTAATTGCAAAAAATGTGTTTTGACATTACCCGAGCTATTTGGATATATTACATAAATAACTAAATGCTTGTTTATAGAAATATCTGTGCTCTCATCAATCATGATTCCAAAAGATACTGCTTCACTAATTTCTTTCTATATGTCAGCTTTAATTATATTTGATATAGCAAAAGCAAACTCACGACCAGATACTTCATTTTCGTAAGTAATTGAACTTTCCATAATAAATGGAGACTCCAATTCATGGGATATTTGAACGAAATAAGGAAGCTTGGCCAATGGTATATCTTGCCTTATAAGAGTATATAAGATTTTTATAACTCCAACTATGTGATTTTTGCTTTTTTGTATAACTTGTACTGATTCTTAATTTCTTGCTTTTTCAGCTGTATCAAGTTTTATTGCATCTATATGTTGATCTGAAGATGCATGTTCTTTAATAGAACTTTTTCGTCTAAAATTTACAGACCCTATAATGATAATAATATTTAAATTATTAAATATTATGAAAATAATAATAAATACTTATATCATTTACCTCTAGTTCCAAAAACGTTTTGTTTTTCATAATGTTTGCAATATTTACAAAACATTTGTTGGAAAACTTTATTATATTGAAGCTATCTAAATTCATTGAGCCAAGAGCTTTGAAAACTAGATTTGGATTTTGTTGCAATT